CCCTCTGTCTAGTCACTTTATGCTTTTTACGCTATTTTGTTGTTACGCCGAAACATGATAGAATCACTATGCGTCGAATCTAATTTCTCGCTCATTTTAGTTTATTCTGTCTGAAAAAATGCACAAGGGTTTCGATTTTGCAACAGTACAATTATAAAAGTCGTGTGCCCCTTTGCATCACGTGAAAAGTCGAAACCCATGTGGAAGGGTGCCGTCCCATGTACACAAAATCGGAACGACGGAACGAATTTCTTACTAAAAAATTTGAGATCACTACAATTCCGTTCCGTAAGAAGTTTCTCTACCCGTCCCATGTAGCCGGAACGGAATGAAAATGGACGGAATGTCGCCTCGGTCGCAAGTTAATTTGCCTAATTTAATCAATATTTCGTTATTTTAATACGACTAAAGCAGTAATATGCATAATTTGTGCAATTATCTTACTTATAACATTACTTTGAATACTTAAAAATACTGAATTGTAAGAGTGAGATATATTATGTTACCAAAATTCCATTGCGTTCCGGCTACATGGGACGGGTAGAGAAACTTCTTACGGAACGGAATGGTATGTTCACCTCAGATGGTTGAATGTGAAATTAAGGCGATGCTAAAGCCTCCTGTTTTACCCACATTTCCATTCGGTGAAAAATCTCTGTATTGGATGTACGGATTGCAAAAGTATTATTGCTTAAATTAAAGTACGCACAAACAGGACCTCAGCTGCACTGGATTTCATGAAAAAATCGAAAAAAAGTTTCAGATTCGTTAAAAATTCACTTACTTTTGGATCGTACAACTGTCACCTCAGATATATATTTGCTTGATATAAGAGCTTTAGAGTCCATATCTTGAAAATAAGCGTGCAGCTGAGGTCACATTATTGAAACGAACGATACCGAGTTTGTAGAACTAAGATTGAAAGTCTAGAAAAGAAATATTTCTCCCATGTAGCCGGAACGGAATGAAAATGGACGGAATGTCGCCTCGGTCGCAAGTTAATTTGCCTAATTTAATCGATGTTTCGTTATTTTAATGCGACTAAAGCAGTAATGTGCATAATTTGTGCAATTATCTTACTTATAACATTATTTTGAATACTTAAAAATACTGAATTATAAGAGTGAGATATATTTTGTTACCAAAATTCCATTGCGTTCCGGCTACATGGGACGGGTAGAGAAACTTCTTACGGAACGGAATGGTATGTTCACCTCAGATGGTTGAATGTGAAATTAAAACAAATATTCAGAAACCTTTTTTTTGGAGATTACAACGATGGACGAAGAAGTAGTGTTAACTGTGATGTTAAAATTATTGCGAAATGCAAGAAATATGCCAAGTTGGCGTGCTATTCTGATATTTAAGAGAGTACGAAAATTATATTTCGCTTATAATATTTTATTACAAAATAAAAAATATACAAAAAAACGAAAATTTTGGGTACGGCCAATGTTTACACAAAGAATGAGACATCTTCAAGGCGTAAGTGACAATTTAAGACCCCAAAATATAGACCAAACAGGTACAAGAGTTCATTGAACGCTTTAATTAAATTTCTTTCATCTGATTAATCAAATGTTTCGAAGTATTTGTAGC